GAGGTTGCACACGATTCGCATTGGAAATATTTTTTTACCTTAGCATATGGAAAAGAGTTACCATGATATAGAAACTAAATAGAGAGAGAGAGAGAAAGAGAGAAAGAGAAAGAAAGAAAGGCATATTGTTAGTAGCAAAACGTGTGTCCCGTGTGTCACGACGATTAGCGAGCTGTCTGTACCTACTAATTGACGATAAAATTCGCGCGAGCGTTCTTACCCAACAACAACAGCTCCGTACTCGATGATCTTGACACGATTTTTATTCTCGAAGGTGTAAAAAAAAAAGCCTTACTTCCTTTCTTTCTTTCTCCTTTCCCTTTTTTTCTCTTGCCCACCTTTCATTTATTTATTTATCTATTTTAATTTATTTTTTTCCGTTTCTTTTATTTTCGTTTCGTTCTGTCTCTCTTTTTTTTCCGTTTTTTTTTTTCCTTTTTCTCTTTTTTCCCCCCCCCTTTAAATTCTCATCGATCGAACGCGACGACGATTATTGGTAACCATATCTAGTAACAACAGTAATAGCAGTAGGAATAACACGAAGATTAAAATTACTACGTTGAGACAATAAATAATTGAGATTATCACCCTTCTTTAGTTTTAACACGAGTTCTTTCTCTTAAGCATCATTGACCACAAGTATATATATATATATATATAAAAGAACAAAAAAAAGAACGAAAGAAAATTAAGAAAATCCTACGAGGAATAAATTAGTTTTTTTTTTGTATCCTCTTTCGATCACTAAGAATAAGGATCGATCGGTGGATCAATCGATCGATCCATCGATCTATCGATCGATCGATCGATCTATCGATCGATCGATCGATCGGTTTATCTCGAGGATATTATCCTTGGATATACGTTGTTTCAAGGGTTCATCAAAGATCAAAGGGAAACGGTGCGACAATGATCAAAGGGTCGACTAGAGGAGAACTCAACTACGCGACCACTTCATTTCATGATTCTATTTCAATCTTGAAATCGATCTTGGAAACCCTAATCGTTTCTTACTCATTTAGTTCTTCTTCGTCTTCTTCTTCTTTTTCTTCTTCCTTGTTCTTCTTTTTATTCCTTTTAATATGATCGATCGATCCTCCAAATAAAATTTTACACGAACACGATTCGACGCTTTCAAAAAATACAATACATAATGTCAAATAAATCAATGTATAAATTAATGTCATAAATTTATATATATATATATATGAATATGTATATTTGATAATCTCTTGGCAATAAAATCGATAATTTATGATTTATGAGTCACTATCGCGCACACACACACGTTCATTCAATTGTCACGAATGAATAGATCTTCTCTCATTTCGTCTCTCTCTCTCTTTCTCTCTCTCTCTTTCTCAATCTCTTCGTCATATCCGGTCTATCATTATGACTGTATTCTCTTGTCACATCGGCGAATCCACATCCGCTCACGCGATGATCCAATGAGAGAAGTTTTACGATCGTTCAAAATTAAAAGATGAAAAATTTTGTTTTCCTTTTCTTTTTCGTCTCTCTCTCTCTCTCTCTCTCTCTATCTATCTCTCTCTTTCTCTATTTTTCTTCTTCTTTCTTATCGATAAAAGCAAATCGACGTACGATTATCTTACTCCTTCGTTCTCTTATTTAAATAATTTTATTTTCGATAAGTAATTGCGATGATTTTTTTCAAAAGCGGAAATAAGAAAGACAAAAAGAAAATATGTATATATATATATACACATATATTTATATATATATGTATATATATATATATTATGTTTAATCGTTATTGATGCATATATATGGAAAGTATCGAAAACAATAAAATAGAATATTTGTTTTCTTCTTTTTTTTTCTCTTTTTCTTTTTTATTCTTTTTTTTTTTTCTTTTTTTATTATCCTCTCTCTTCCGTTTTTGATTACCGGAAGGCGAGTAGAAAAACGGAGCGAGAGAGTAGGCACGCGATGCGTTTCACACGGATGCCGCGCGTCGACTGAGACCGCGATTGACTGTGGCGCGGTGCCATTTCACGCCGATTTCTATCGCGCTTGGAGAGGAGCCTCGGTTCTTGCGCGAAGAACCTCGTGAGAAACACGAGAGAGAGAGAGAGAGAGAGAGAGACAAAGAGAGAGAGAGAGAGAGAGAGAGAGAGAGAGAGGTAAGCTACACGCAGAATCCATCTTACGACCCTTGACGATACAACCACGAAACGATGACACTCTTATGCTCGCGAATTTATCATACGATAAATCTTTGATGAGATAACAACGTGTGTATGTAAATATATAACAAAAAGATCGTTCGTTCTTTCTTTCTTTTTTTCTTTTTTTTTCTTTTCTCTTTTTTTTTTTTGATTGCTTTTTTTTTTCCTTTAAAAAATCGCATCGTAAAAAGAACGTTGTATTATCGATCCATTTCGGATCGAGATAATCAAATAGATTTTGTACCGTGTTTGAAGTGAAGTGAAGTGAAGTGATGGGATCCTAAAAAAAAAAAAAAGAAAAAGAAAAAGAGAAAATAAAGAAATAATAAAGAAAGAAAAAAATGAAAGAAAAGAAATGTTACCCCGACGAATCTGTTTCTATGGTTAATGTAATATTCATTGTTAATCATTATACGTATGTACATAAATATATATATATATATGATTTCCATTTGAGATTTCACAATCTTGTTATATTTTCTTTTAGCTTATGCAGAGTACGTGCGTATAAATACGATCAATCAATTATTTATAAACTCGGGAGGGAAAGCGAGGAGCCTTAAAAAAAAATCAAAAGAAAAAGGAAAAGGGACAGAGGGGACATGGAGAAAGAGAAAAAAAGACGAGAGAGAGAGAGAGTGAGAGAGAGAGAGAGAGAGAGAGAGAGAGAGAGAGAAAAGGAAGAAGAGAAGACAACGAATGCATCGACTTGACTCCCCTTCGTGATCTGTAAAAGATTGTTTTGTGAAACACGATCGACTGATGCATTCAACAGAGAAAGAAAGAGAGAGAGAGAGATAAAGAAAAAGGCAAAAAAAGAAAGTAAGAAAGAAAGAGAAATACAGATATATATATATAACAGAAAGAGTGAGGGGGAGAGAAATAAAAGAATGATGATAACAAGTGCAGTGGGAAGAATAAAGAAACTGAGAAAAAAGATTTCAGAGAAAAGGAAGTAAGAAGAGATAAAGAGACACAGAGAGAGAGAGAGAGAGAGAGAGAGAGAAAGAGAGAGAGAAAGAGAGAGAAGGAGAGAGAGAGAGTGAGGGAGAGAGAGAGAGGAAGAGAGAGATAAAGAGAAAGTCGAAGGTACTTTGAAGCCTAGGGTGGTGTCGAGTATCAAAGTACATGGGAGCTTTCAGTTCTCGTTATAAAGAGCCCTTCTTCTCTTGTCGCAATGGCGGCCCAAGCGTCGCGTCGTTATTATCGTTGCCCATCGCGTAATATTATTCCATCTTGGCCCTTACGATCTTTTACCATTTACGAAGAAAAAAAGGTTCAGATTTTTAAAAGTCGATCGTTTTCCGTCATACTGATTTTTTTATATATCATATCTCATCGTACAACGTAACGAAAAATACAAAGAGAAATATATATATATATATATATATATATATATATATAGAGAGAGAGAGAGAGAGAGAGAGAGAGAGAGAGAGAGTGAAAGTGAGAGAGAGAAGGAAACAAAAATAGAGTGTAAATGTTTTCATTTACTTGAATGGATTTCGCGATGCAACGAAGTGAAAAAACGTTTATGCATGCTATATATATATATATATATATATATATATATATATATATAAATGTTTATGTACACATACGTACGTATGTATTGTAAATATTGTACGAATGAAGGATGGAAAAAGAGAAAGAGAAAAAAAAGAAAGTTTTACCGATCGATCGGTCGATCGATCAATCAGAAAGTTAAAAATCAAAAGGCAAGTTTACCATGCGTTAAAGAATATTTTTCTATCTGGCTTTTTTTTTCTTTTTTCTCTTTTCTTTTTTCTTTTTTTTTTTTTCTTTTTTTTACCCCCAATATATTTTTCATTAACCATTATTTATCTATGATTATTGTTCCTGGCTTTGTCACGCATCGTTATCATTGGATATCTTTTATTATCTCATTTCATCTTGTTCGCAATATCACTCTTCTTTCAACGATATAATCGAAACCATATAAAAGAGAGAGAAAGAGAGAGAAAGAGAGAGAAAAAAAAATATATCACATACGTACGTAAGTATATACGTATGCATGTATCTCATGGAGTGGACAGGGGTGGATTGACCGGTAAAGAGGGGAGCGGGTGATGGAATTAACGAGGCTCCTCTATACAAGGAAGCATCGGAAGCAAACGTGTTATCGCCTTTGATGATAAACGATAACCTTCCGTCTGTCCAACTAAAGCCACCTCTTGTCGATACTACCTTCAATAATGTCCGTGTTGCATTGTAACGTCCGAATAATGGATCTGACTATTGATCATAGAAAGAAAGAGGAAAGAAAGAGAAAGAGAGAGAGTGGGATCTATCGTATTTTTTTTTCTTCTTTTTTTTTCTTCCTACAATGGAACCAACCGCATACACCATATTACGTTTCAATTATGTCGAATAATTTCAAATTTGTACATCATGGGATACATTGTTTTTATAATAATTCATATTTTTTTTTTCTTTCTTTCTTCTTTTTCTCTCTCTCTCTCTCTCTCTCTCTCTCTCTCTCTCTCGATAGAGATTTATCAGATCGTTCATATAGAGGAACATGCACAATGACGAAGAAAAATATGAATTTCTTTCGTATCGATGTTTAATATCGTAATAATTTTCATTTCGATATCTGTCGAGTTACTATTCGTAAACAGATTCTAAATATAATATCTAAACGCGATGGTCCGAACTAAGAAGTCCACGCTGCTTTACCGGATCATGTATTAACCTAGTTCTTATCGATTCTCGCTGAGGTTTCCTCCTATAACCGTGTAGATTCGACGGACATACCAGCCGAGAAAACGTTGGCTTATATAGTGAGCGATGAAATATATTCGACGTATGTACTTTACCGTTCCACGTTTTTTCTCGAATCTTTCCTTAAATTTTCCTTCTTTTCTTTTTTTTTTTTTTTTTTTTTTTGGGACGGTTTTTTTCTCCCTTTTGTTTTATTATTATTATCGTTGTTGTTGTTTCTATTATTATTATTATTATCATTATTATTATTATTATTATTATTATTATTATTATTATTATTATTATTATTATTATTATTATTCGTTAACTCGAGGGCAAACCCTCGACTGTGAAAGAAGAAGAGAATGAAAGTATTGTTACGAACAAGAAAAAAAAAAAAAAAAGAAGAAAAAAAGAAAACAGAAAATGGACAAATTATCTCGGCAATTTTTTGTTTTGTTTTTCTTCCTTTCCACTTTCTTTCTTCTTTCTTCTTTTTTGTTTCTTCAAAGAAAAATAGATTTTTAGGTAGACATGTAAGAGCCGTTTCTCGTGCGTTTCTAACTCGAGGCAATCGTAGAAAGATATGAAAACGAGTCGCTAGAGAATCTTTCTTTCTACCTTTCTTTCACTCTCTCTCTCTCTCTCTCTCTCTCTCTCTCTCTCTCTCTCTCTCTCTCTTTTGTTCGAAATAATTTTAACGTTTCTTCGTGTAAGTACAGCGATGGGAAAAACATATCATCGTACTCCTTTATCTCTCTCTCTCTCTCTCTCTCTCTTTCTTTCTCTCTTTCTCTCTCTTTCTGGCTCTTGTTTTTTTTCTTTCCCTAAGGTTAAATTGTTAAAAACTCGTCTACGAATGATATTTGCCATTCCGTTCTATTTTATATTTTCTTTAATCTCATTCAAGTGATATTTAAATTTCACGTACAAATATCATATTTTATATTATATACAATATAACAATTCGTACAATTGTTATTGTCTCGGTTGTAAAGAGGAAAAAAATAAAGGAGAAAAAAAAAAGAGAAAGAAAAAAAATTCTTTTTAAATTGAAAATTTCTATCCCGACTGTGTATTTTTAATTAGAAATTTTAATTAGGAATTAGTTCGTATTAAAGATAGTCCCGTATAATATTTCTCGTACGAAGGTCCCTTCTATGAGCATTTTTCTTTTCTTTTTTTCCTTTCATTATTATTATTTTTTCAATAAATTTTTCATACGCATTACCAACCCTCGAATGACCTGTATCACGACTTTATCCTATATTCATGAATTGAATATATTATAAGAACGAAAATGGAGATGCTAACGCATCTACACGCATCTAATCGGAAACGATGATATACTACGTAACATCTAATAATTTAATATCATGTGAGACATCACGGATGAATTCAGATGTAGGTGGTTTAATAATTTAGAAATATTCCGAATCGATTCGGACATATGTATGTAACCACCGTAAACAAGAAAATTCATGCGGTTGCGTGCGCGCGTTTACATATGTATGGGCCATACAGTTAGTAATAACTGGGTGCAAGTAGTACATGGTTCATCTCGTTTGTGTTTTGTTGAGTGATCAGACATCGCGATTAATGCGCATGCGCGAAATGCGCGATCTCAGGAACGGCGGTACATTCTCGAATCTCTACGGTACTTCATACACACATACACATAAACTTTTCTAAATGTCATATGCCAAGTAAACCGTAATTACAACATACGTTATATATATATATGTGTGTGTGTGTGTGTGTATATAATCATTTTTTATGCGATATCGTGTTTGTTATATATTTATTATCATAGCTAAAGAGGAAAGACAATTTAATTTTCGACAGGTTTCTGCTCGCTTTACTCAATTATTGATTTACGATTAATTTTCGATATTTCTATTTTTGCAAGAATAAAAATCATTTACTAAATTTAACGAAATTAATATCAAGAATGAGAATATACGTATACCTACGAGATCTTCCCTCGCTTTAATAAGAAAAAAAAAAAAAAAAAAAAATTGTATTTCGTTACGATGACAACAAAAAGAAAAAAAAATTTATAAGTACGTATATACGTCACAAGCTGTATACATATTATATATATATACATATATGTATATATATATAATAGAATATATATATATATGTATATATATATAACAGAACGCGATTTGTCTTTCATCTTTAAAATATGAGATACGAGAGTTCGTGACTGGAGGAGACGATAGATAACAAAAAACGATCCCTTGTGAATTTTTTATATCGTCGTTCGACGATAAAGGCAAATAAAAAAGAAGAGAAGTCATGTGTCCAAAAAATAAAAAGAAAAAAAAAAAAAGAAAAAAAAGAAAACGAAGAAAAACGGAGCCCTTGTAGTTCCTTTCCTTTTTTCTTATTCTATAATATTTTCTAATCTATAATATTTATCGATAATATTCGAAACAATCCTTGAATATGCTTTTAATGTGAATATAAAAGGGGGAAAAAAAAGGAAAGAAAAGAAAAAGACACTGTAATATAAAAAAAAAAAAACAAAAAAAAAAAAAAAATAAGAGAAATACAGAAGGCTGCCAAAACACCCAACTCA